AAGCATTCAATGAAATTAAAAGTGCTATTTTGTCTAATGAAATATTAATCCACTATAATCCAAAATGGCCTATCATTATAGCTTGTGATGCTAGTCCTACTGGTATTGGGGCTGTATTATCTCATAAATTACCAGATGGTACAGAAAAGCCTATTGCCTTTACTTCCCGGACATTAAATAAGGCCGAACGTGCTTATGCACAAATAGATAAAGAAGCTCTTGCTATAGTTTATTCAGTTAAGTATTTTCATCAATATGTATATGGTCGTGAATTTATACTTAGAACAGATCATAAGCCTTTAGTAGTTATTTTTGGTCCTAAAAAAGGTATTCCTGTCATGATAGCAAATCGGTTACAGCGGTATGCAATATTTTTATCTGGCTATAATTATGAAATACAATTTGTAAAAGGTATAGATAATGGTAATGCGGATGCATTGTCAAGACTTCCTTTAGATACCACTGCGAGTTCTAATATTTTAGAATCAGATAATTACTCTATTAATTTAATCACTGAAAATATTAAAACAATTTCTGATTTAGATATTTGTGAGGAAATTAAAAAAGATACTATTATTAAACAAGTTTTTTTTAGCGTTTTCACTGGTCAGTGGCCTACTGACATTAAAAAGGTATCTGAAGAATTGAAACCATATTTTAACCGTAAGGATCAATTTTCAATTGAACAAGGATTATTATTTTGGGGGCATCGTTTAGTAATACCGTCTAAATTTCGGACTGAATTGTTAACTGAATTACACAGCACTCACTTAGGTGTTGTTAAAATGAAAAGTATCGCTCGTTCTTTTATTTGGTGGCCTGGAATTGATTTAGAAATTGAAGGTATTACAAAAAGATGTGAACTTTGTTTGATTCATAGTGAGAATCCTCCAAAGGCAGTTCTACATAGTTGGCCTTGGCCTGATGGTCCATCTCTTAGGGTTCATTTAGATTTTTTAGGTCCTGTTAATAAAAGAATGTTTCTTGTGATTATAGATGCCTTTTCAAAGTGGGTGTATGTGAAATTTATGCCGAATATAACTACTTCTTCAACTATTAAAATTTTAAGAGAATATTTTGCTTATTGGGGCATTCCTGCAAAACTTGTGACTGATAATGGTCCATCTTTATGCTCGAAAGAGATGGAAGATTTTTTACAAAAAAATAGAGTTTTTCATATTAAAACTTCACCGTATAATCCTGCATCAAATGGTGCAGCTGAAAATCTTGTTCGCACTTTCAAAAATTTTATAAAAAAATGTAACCCTAATTCTGACATTGAAGTTGATGTATATAGATTTGTTATATCGTACAACAGTACAAAACACTGTTCTACAGGTGTTACTCCGGCAGAATTACACATTGGGCGTACCTTGCCAACTCAATTCGATAGACTAATTCCTTTTGCTAAGAATAAATATAACAAGTGTTTGGAAAATGCTAAACATGTTTTTAGAGGCAATAGAGAGAAATCCTATAAGATTGGAGATACTGTTATGTGCAGAAATTATGGTTCTGGTAATATGTGGGTACCAGGTACAATTATTAAAGTATTGTCACCTGTTACTTATCTGGTTCAAATTAATAATTCTTTAATGTGGAAAAGACATATTAATCAAATTATTGATAGAGTTAAAAATGTTAATGTTAATCATAAACATTTGAATGATATTGAAACTAGGTTAAGTGAAAACAAACCAGTAATTGAAAGTATTATTGAGGAAGGAGGAAAAGTTAGTACAGAGGTAGAGAATACTAAGTCTGATGTTATTGAAGTTAAGCCAGAAGTCACACAGGTTAGGAAGAGTGATAGGATTATTAAAAAACCTCAAAAGTTAAATTTGTAAAACTAATTTTTATATTTTATTTTCATTATTCTTATTGTATTATTTAATTGTAGTATTTGTAATGTTTATGACTTTGTTATGTATACCTTAATACTGTTATATTAATTTATGTTTTATAAAATGTATGTATACTGTTTAATATTTTGTAATTTTTATGATTCTTTAATACTATTGTTTTTTTTAAATATTCCTAATTAAGTGTGAAGGAATCTGTAATGTCTTTGGAAATATGGAATTCTTCCAGGATATATTTTGTATTGTTAGGTTATATTATTCAATAAAGAATCATTCGTTGTTTTGCAATTATGCGTTCAAGTTGTGCTCTGTACCTCTCAAAAACATAACAGGCACTATAAGAAAGATTTTTCCAAAATTTGTATTTTAAAGTGGTGTACTTTCACAAGTATTTTCAGATTTATGATGATCGATGAAAATTTTTGATTTTTGAACTCCATGAAATTGAATATTAAATAACGAATTGAACAAAGTTTGATAATATAAAGTTAGCATTTTTATAACGGGCAATGAAGTGCTATATATTAGAAAATATAATGATTATTGTGTTACAAGATTATTTTTAGTACAATTCCTAATTCTTATATCTCTTATTCATTATAAGATAAGTATAAGTGTATATTATTATCTATCATTACTATTTTTATATCTTGATTCTTGAAGAATGATTTCACATTTTGTGTAAGTTATTTATTTGGATATTATATAGTATACACATATATTATATACATTTGTAGTTTTAATATATAATTTACAGTTGACACCGATTGCAGTGACATATCAGGTTTTATGACCTTAAATAAAAGGACCCGAAAAATATCGGTTATTATGACCTATTTTCATCAGTCCTTTGAACTTCATTATAGAAGATTTCTACTGTAAATTAAAATGTTTTTTTTGTATAAAAAACCTATTGTTATTCTATATAAATATTTAAGGTAAACCTTTTACTTTACTTACTTATTCTTGAAGCAAACGTATGATTCGGTGCACGAATCCAATGAATGAGATTTCACGGAACGATTATTGACTTCAACGAGAATGATTTACCTACCTTGTATTACTGTATAGGCTTGTGAAATAATGAAAAAATATATATTGCAGTAATAGTATAACAACTAAAGAGTGAAAACACACTGAATATTATTATTACTTTAGTAAGTGGGCACTAAAAGTATAACAATGGGCATCGGCCTATCTATTATGCATCTATGTATTGCTATAAATAATCAATATTGATATCGATGGCTACGGACGAAAACCCGTAAGTCGAAATTTTAAAATTTTTTTTTTTCTTTCTATTGGATGCACTGTATTATTGTGCACAGTTTGATATAATAATATAATAATATTTCGCGCCAATCTCATAAGATATCGTACAAAAACAAAACCTCTTATCTATATTATGAATATCAAAAGCTCGTAACTCGACTATATTATTATTATTATGAATGTTATAAGCACATAACTTTATTTATATTATTTTGTTTTGGTAAATATGTTTTACTATAATCCATCACAATCACAGTGTTTATTATAAAGTATACTAAACTACTTTTGATATTTTTTGTTAGGTATAGGTATTACATATTTAGGTATAGTAACTATTAGTTAACTGTAAGTTATTAGGTACTACTTCTTGTGAAATAAATAAGAGTAGGTACCTAGATATTATAAATCAGTTATTATGTCTCTTTTACCTGACGACGAAATTCAACACCTTTTAAATAATATGAATAGTTCAGATGAGGATTGTGGTAATGATTAAGTTTTTATATTAGTATATTTAATATTATATTATTTGTATTTATGTGTAAAATTATTACACGTCTTGATAGAATTTGAGGGTGAAAATGTGATTGAAGGCAGTCAAAATATTGATGATTTTCCTACTGTGGAAGGTATATTATAAAAATGTATGATTCTCTGATTTATAAAAAATTATATAATTTATTTATGCTTATATTATGTACAATTATGATCCTTATTAGAATTTGAGTCTGTAAATGTGGTTGAAGCCAGTTTTAACATTGATGAATTGCTTACTACTGAAGGTACATAATAATTTATGGTCCATTGATTTATATAACAAATTAATATAATATTATGTTTATGCTTATATTATGTAAAATTATGATTTTTATTAGAATTTGAGGCTGTAAAATATGTAGTTGAAGACAATCAAAATATTATTGATGATTTTCCTACTGTTGAAGGTATATAATAATTTATGGTTCATTGATTTATATAACAAATTAATATAATATTATGTTTATGCTTATATTATGTAAAATTATGATCCTAATTAGAATTTGATGATGTAAATGTGGTTGAAGACAATTTTAATATTGATGAATTCCCTATTATTGAAGGTATATCATAATTTAAAGCTCTTTGATTTATGTAAAAAATTAATAAAATATATTATTTATGCTTATATTATGTAAAATTATGATCTTTATTAGAATTTGAGGCTGTAAAATATGTAGTTGAAGACAATCAAAATATTATTGATGATTTTCCTACTGTTGAAGGTATATAATAATTTATGGTTCATTGATTTATATAACAAATTAATATAATATTATGTTTATGCTTATATTATGTAAAATTATGATCCTAATTAGAATTTGATGATGTAAATGTGGTTGAAGACAATTTTAATATTGATGAATTCCCTATTATTGAAGGTATATCATAATTTAAAGCTCTTTGATTTATGTAAAAAATTAATAAAATATATTATTTATGCTTATATTATGTAAAATTATGATCTTTATTAGAATTTGAGGCTGTAAAATATGTAGTTGAAGACAATCAAAATATTATTGATGATTTTCCTACTGTTGAAGGTATATAATAATTTATGGTTCATTGATTTATATAACAAATTAATATAATATTATGTTTATGCTTATATTATGTAAAATTATGATCCTAATTAGAATTTGATGATGTAAATGTGGTTGAAGACAATTTTAATATTGATGAATTCCCTATTATTGAAGGTATATCATAATTTAAAGCTCTTTGATTNAAGTCAAATTAATTTAAATTCAAAAACTCGTAAGTCGAATTTTTAAATAAAAAAATCAAAATGCTGTATTATTTTACACATACATCGTAGATGATTAGTAAAAAGTAAAAATGAGGTCATAATAATATATAATTGTCATATATTAATACCCGTCACAGTTTTTTGCTGTTCCTGAACAATTTGATAAAAATGACTTAAGAGGTTTTCGTCCGTAGCCATCGATATTTAACTGTGTATCAAGTTTTGTAGCATAATTATGTGATTATCATCACGACATATAAATAATAATTGAATCATAGTTAAAAGCAGTGGCGTACGCAGGGGGCAGGCTAACGAGCTGAATCAAGGTTCAACTGTACAGTAAACTAATAAAGAAGGACTTAAATTCATATATACGTTTTAACTGATTAATTAAGCCTACATAAATAAAAAATGGCACTGTAATAAATAATAATAGTGTTCAATTTGAATTCAGTGATACCTTTATATCATTATTTTTTACGAAAACGAATCAGTGAAGACAGTGTATCAGCATAGAATATTTTATTTTATTTTAATACCTATTCCTTTTATTAATTAAAATAAAGATAGGTCGAATTCATTTTTACAAAAAAAATTGTATTTACACACCTATTTTCCTAAAATGATCAGTAATTTTTGGTTACAGTATGAACTACATATATGAGGTACCTTGTATTAAATGTTCAAGACTGGCTATACAAATTGAACATTTTATAAATATTCAACTACAAATTAATTGTAGTTTTATCAACATTTGAACTTAAAATGCTTATAAAAAATAATTGTTCCTAAATATGCATACACATATGTGTATTGTGTATGTATATAATGTAATTTATTTTAAATAGCTATAGAAAAAACTTTTGATTATCCTTGTATTAACAAGTTTGCTGCTGTGTTTGTTCCATAACTTCGTGAATTTATGATCGTATTAATAATATTATATTATTATTATCATCGCTGACGACGTTAGTGATGTACACTTGAGGGACAAATAATCACTAACGATCAACCGCAGATTCACTAGGATTTGGGTATTTGGAGTATGTATAAACGTATAATGTATATATACTAGTATACTTGTCTATTAGATCTGTCTTTATGCACGAATATTAATAGTATATTAATTAACCGTATCGCTCATAAATGCCTTAAGTAGGCAAGTAGGTAGAATAAATGGACGAAATTAATGAGTAGGGTAATGAGAGGTATTTTCGTGATGTATTTAATTTCATGATACTTCTTTGAACGTTTGGACAGTTCCTATTATAGGTCCCTATTCACTGATAAACGTCTAAACAGAGCCAAATGATATCCATATTATGGTATTACTGTCGGTTGTCAGACAGTCGTTGAGAGCGTCCGGTACGTCAATATTGTTCACTATCAGCTTAGTTACTTTTTTGTCATTATTTTACTGTATCATGAACATACTTTTGAACTTTTCTTTACCCTACAGCTCTGAGATGTAGAAGAAACACGTGATCATGCATATTGAATTACATGAAATATCCATGTATAATTTTTAATTTTTTTTTGAACTTAAGCCCGGCGACTAAGGCCATTAACTGTTGTAGGGGTTATGAACTGTGGTAGGGGTAAGGACGGTAGGTTGTTTTTACGATTGTTACGGTAGGTAGCAAACACGTGTATGACGTATGTGTGACAAGGTTTTTAACTACTATGAACCCGGGTGGTCACCCATCCGGGAGCTAGTAGCTGTGGCCGTTACTTACTCCCTGCAGTCGCATTCCGCGACTGGTAGCAGCCAACGCGCCACGCCGAGCGATTCATGTATAATTATACAGACAATTAATGACAATACTTTAGTCCAGTTACGTAAAAATTAAAACAATTATTGTTTATGTAATAATAATCAGTATGCTCTACACTTTATAGTTACAGAAACTCATTTGTCGGGGCCGTCGAGGAGAAATCCGGGTCCGGGGGGAATTCGCCATTTTCCCCATCATTATCCTCAACTGCCGTCATTCTTTCGAGAAAATCTAACTGCATCTGAGTCTTGCGGTTATTTCTTCTGAAATATTTGCTGCCGATCAGGTGTTCACGTCTTAGCTTGTAGTACACAAAGAACAGTGGATAAAATTCATAATCGTTGTACTTCACGTATACACGGCCGTCATTGCTCATCGTCGTGTCCGCACTGTCAGGTGGAATGATCAAGGACCTTGCAAACGTCTCCTGCGGCACGTACGTTTCACCAACCAGTGAGCAGCATAACATAATCACACGTATGCCTGCCGTATAGGTCACACGAACAGAAAGAGAAAATAAACGCTCACATTATTAACAAGTACGACGTAGGTATTAATAACTAATGTACTAACTATAAGTTGTATGTACCTGCTTAGAACTTAGGGTTTTTGAGTGTAATTTTTCAGAGAGATGAAAAAAGTTCATGTGCGTATATCCCGGTGTAGGTACATTATAGCCTATAGGTACTGCTTATTGTGCGTGAAATCGTTTTTTTCTGTTGTACTCGCAAAATATATTTATTGTACCGATAATACAATAAACGTTTAACCACACAATGTTGTAGAACTTTATTGTTTATTAACTAATAACATTTTTTGTAGTTATATTAGGACATATACCTAATCTAGTAAAATCAAATTTTTTTTAGTATTCATCTAGAAATGTATTCATCAATTGATACCTAAATAACAAGTACAATATTGTGTCAGAAAACTAAAACTCGTATAAATATTAAATTAAAAACTGATAATATAAAATTTAATGATATAATATGTTCTTATATTGTGCAATAATATATGTAACAATGTATGCATAAATTAATAGATGAAATAACAATTTTTGATTTTACTAAATTACGTATAGGTAATCTCATTTAAAATGAAAAAATGAGGAACAAAATAGTTATAAAATATTGTATGATTTAATGTTTTGAAAATAAATAGGTACCTATAATCTATAGGTACAATAAATACATATATTTTTGTGGGTATAAAGCCGTTTCACATACAATGTTTACACGGAAATCGCTAAATGTTTGAGCCAGTAATGACCACTTGAACAATTTTCATCTCTATATAAAAAATGACTCAAAACAGTCAAAACCCGTAAATACAACTGTTGTCTGGTTTAATTAACTGTACATGTAAGTACTATAGGTCATAGGTCATACATGGACAATAGTTCTGTTGTAATATAATAATATATAATAATTAATAAGGACAGGGTTCATTGAAATGTAACGACAAATAAAAATACAAAATTATCATTTTTTTTTTTAAAGCATTGACCGAACATTTGTATTGTTTCACTGCAATTTTAGAAGCCATTCAAAAAAATTAAAATTTATTTTCTCTGGGTACCTACCTATTTTTTTCGTTTTACTTTTTGAATAACAGCTTATATTTTTGATTGGAAAAAAGCCCATAGTCATTATAAAATTGTAATATTTTACATGATTACGTTAACTCACTTTTAAATAAAAGGTTATAATGCACTGATGTTCTATAAATGAATAAAAAAGTGATTTAGGTAAGTACTTATAGTGAACCGTAACAAAAAAGGATAATAATCCAATAATTTTGGATGGAACATGTGTATAAATCAGACGTGGATTCAGCAATCAACCGAATATTTTGACAACGATTTTTCAGTGGATGTGATCCGTTCGACGATGCGTATTATTTAATCGACGATAACAAACATTATTATTTGTTGTCATACCTTGGTAGGGGGAACTGTTTGCATAATAGTTAGCGTAGTCGGCGTCGTCACTGAACGACACGCCGCACCCAAATTTGGCACGCTGAGTGCGCCTCCAGTCGAGTCCGGTCTCCAGTGACTCCATGGCACTGGACTCAGTGGTCACGTGGAACAGCAACTTCTCCTGGACACCTTGCATTCTCGATTCTTCTTTGTGCAGCAAATACATGCCGTACATCGGCGGGGCGTAGACTTGGCGTATCTTTTTGATATTGCACTGAAATATCAGTGCATATGCGTTACTCAAATATGATATTATTTACAAATCAATCGCATTTTGTTAAGTTTAATAACTACACTCTAGAGTTAGCAATAAATGCTTATGACATAATGTTCAAGACGGATAATTATAATTCGCTGTGCATATAAAATGTTGGTATTCAAAACCTTAGTATACTACCATGATTCAGATTATGCGAAACAGGAATTAACTTTAACTTACAACATTAATTTTAATTAATTGTTTTGTGCCAAATTTTAAATTAGCGAATCCATTTTTTCTTAATTAATTAAATGTTACCACTTTACTGGATATTTATTTGATCATTTTGGGTATGTAGTTTATAAAATTATATGTTTCTAGCTTATCCAGCCATTGATACCCGAAACGTGAAACTTTACATACACAATATGTATGCACTATGCAATAAATAAACATTAATTTTTTTGATAAAAAAATAAAAACTTGGTTAACACTGTTAGTATTGCACTTGACCTCACCACTACATGTAATAAATCTATAAGAGTAAAGTTCATAACACTAAAATACGGTGTAATAAAAATCACTATGATTAAAAAAAATATTCTTATTTTTAATTTTACAAAGATTTATTTTGTGATATAAATATATAATATTATACTAAATAGGTGATGATTGAAGCAGCTAGGGATTGCGATGCACTTTGCATTGTTTTCCGAATCTAGTTGATCTTTGTTAACGTTGACGTTTTATAACATCACGTTTCGACTGTTTAAAGAAATTTTGAATCAGAATAAAAAGTTTTATTTTGCATTTTTTGACAATTTGACAATTTTAAATTTAATCATTTTTCATTTTTTTTCACTTTAGGATTTGGGAGTTTTTTAGAGTTTTTAAGTCTAAAGTTTTATTTTCAAATTTTTTATGCCATTCACATGATTTTTTTTATAAATTTAACGAACTTATCTACCTATTCTTACAAGTAAAATAGTATACGGTATTACGGTCACTGATCAATAGTACTCACGTTGGTAAATGTACTTTTTACGAGTCGTTCAATATGATAGTAGCCATGGCGGTTCATTTTGTTAAGCAGCGGACCATCGGAGTTATTAATGTGGTCAAGCACAAACGGCGAGGCACGCTTCAAAATATGGCTCGCAGCGTGCTCGGTAAACTTCGACGTGTTAGTTCTACTGCCGTTATTAGAGTGCATCGTTCTTGTGTAAAATAGCAGCGGATGAACAGAATAATAATATATAGAAACGTCTGCAGCTGTTTCTTACTAAAAATAAAACACGGAAATTATTTACGCAAATGCAAATGTGTTTACTGTTTAGGCGTATCACCCAATTACGTTTTTTGTTGTGTCTGAAAGGGCTTGACAATATTTCACACTGAAATTGCATGTAGATACGTACCTGCGTCATAGTTTTCGTATCGAACACTTCGTATCTATTAATATATTTATATTATAATCGTTAGCTTACCTCAACCCGATTGAGTGTTTCCGACAAAATATGTCACGCGCAATACAGTCGACGGCGGTACTCGTAGAATACGAGTAAGTAGTCGAGAGTGTTAGCTTTATATAGTGGATATATTATCAAAGATTGATACTGTGGATTATAATACGTGTTTTCATTGCCCATGAAATGATACATTTATTGTTATTTACTACGGTATAATATCGTTTACGTCGTCATTAGTGCTCACTGTCAACGCTGATAACCGACAGACACTTACCAGGTATACCTATAATAATTATTAAAATATTTACGATGTTTGTGTAGTATCAGTTTTGCAGAAATCAAACCCTTAGCTGTATGACTTTCATAAAGCTGGTATATGTTTGTATTAATAATAATTGACCACTACTGGGCTACTGGCTACAACCGAAATCCAATCAAAGTCATCCCTTAAGCATATTCTTAATGTTAATTTTTAATAAGTATTTTTAATATAAGCAGAAAACCTAATTTATTGTTCTATAAACTCAAGGTAAGCCATTTGCAATTGATTGATATTCTAATATAATGTTTTACTTTTACGTATTCTTGAAGCGAACCTTCTTGTGCTTTGACGGATCTAAAGGATGTCTTCATGTGTACGGAGCTATTGAATCTGACTCGAATTATTTACTTTATACTTTATTATATTTTGTAGGCATGCGAAATAATAAAATGTATGTGTAATGTGTAATGCGTATACTGTTATTTGTTTTAGTACCTAATATAAACTCAAGCAGATGTAGGTACCTACTACGATTGGCAATAGTTGGTGGAATCTATTGCTTAGATTGTACTTCTATACTATTCCCCATCTTACAAGTTTGTGTGATACCTGTTGTTTTGATTTATTGAAAGAGTACATCGGTACAAAATGTGTTATTGTTCATTTTGTCATATAAACCTTAAAATATTATTATTGTTTAACAAAAATAAACATTTATAGTATTATACATTATTTGATTTATGTGCTAGGGTACAAGTTATAATAGTACTATAATAAATAATAATATAGTGAGTAAAAAGTGACAAATTCAATATTATTTTTTTTTTACGTTTAACTACTAATTTTTGTAGTGTAATAATGTAAACATCATTTCAACTACCAAAAAAATAATTGAAACATAATTATAAGCCAATTGATAATTAATTTTTAGATCCTGAGAGATGAATATTATACCTATTGATTTTACAATAATGTGTATTTTTTATGTTTGCAATGGAGACACATTTTCTAGTAGCAAAAATGTAATGGACTTTCAACTGTAAGGGTGGTTTCCAATAATGAATAAGATCTACTTGGTATTTTGGTGAAGTCAAAAGTCAAAATTTGAGTAATTCAAAGTAAAAAAAAGTTTTATATTTATATTTATAATTTATAAACTTAAATAATATAGAAAAATTATTCAAATTTAAATAATAATAATACTGTTAACATTTAAAAGCAAAATATGATTTAAGATTCTGTTTAAAATGTCTATAGCTATTGAATTAGTCCTGGAAAATTGAAAAAAAAAGAAAAAGAATTCTTTATAATATTAAATCTTAAATTAATCTACTAACCAATATTATGATGATTCGACTCTAGTTATAAAATATTGTTTTTCTAGGACTAACAACAGTACAACTTGGCGCATAAGATGCTTTAAGCAGGTAACTGAATTTTTTCATGACTGCTTTAAATATGATTATTAAATTATTAAATTTTCATTCAGCCAATATTTTATCTAAATATATTTTATCATTTTAACAATTATAAAATTCAATACCGAACAAAAAATTTAAATTTTCTTGATCATTTATTCACAAATAAATATATAATTACATAGAAATAAAAGGTTACTTTTTGCACTTGTATATATAATAAAAATTGTGTACAATCAAATTAAAATAAAATTACCAATCACAACTGTAATACTTACTATTCCGTAAGTTATTGATATAAATCGTTCTCGCATGAATGCGTGTAGTTAAAATGTATTATGATAAATTATGAATGAATACAGAACAGAGAAAATAAAACGTAAACTGTACGCCACGGCCTTAGCAGATCAATGTATATAATATGAATATTAGATAATAATATTATGTAAAATAAAAATAACTATGTTTGCTTAAAAATAAAAACAGTAGTAGAAAACGTTTAAGAATCGTTCAAAATCAATGAAGATTCATAGCTTTCATCCCTCCTACTAACGACCTCGTCCGATGGCTGTTTCTACGGAAATATTTGCTATTTGTCATGTGTTCGGGTCTTCTCTTGTAGTACACAAAGTACTTTGGATAAAATTCATAATCGTTGTACTTCACTAACACTCGGTTGTTGTGGCTAACCGTTGTGTCTGCACGGCCTGGTGGTACGATCAAGTTGTTCCCGTCGTCCTCTGCGGGGATTACGTAAATTTTTTTCACCAGTACGGAGCATATCATAATCACTCGTTCATCTGTAGTCGATCAAGAGAACCGAAAAAGAAAATAAACGAAAACATTATTAACTTTTATAATGGCGTAACGTAATTACTGGTTCCTATAAACGTACCAGAGATGGCAGGTTGTTGTGTTATTAATTATAATATAATACGATAAAAATTATTTTTAAAAAAAAGTAGTTACTCAGTTTCGGAAAAACAAAAGAATTTTACTTCTGCCAAAATTAAAAAAGGTTTGATTTTCGTTTCAGTCAAATCTAGTTCTTTCTAATAATTACTTAGAGAACCATTTAGAATTACGCAATTTTCTATAGGTTAGGTTGGGTAACATACGGGCAATAGTTTTAGTTTTATACTTTATTATTGAAGTTGACGTGTTAATAAAAATCTGTTTTTAATTTTTTTTTCTAATTTTGGTTTTGGATAATATTTAATTTAGAACTGTTCATTTGTACAAACACATTAGTTTGAACACTTGAACTTATAATTTTTTTTAATACATTAATATTAGGATGCGATTTGTAGAACTGTTGGTTGAAATGTGCATGGAATGATTCACAATTATTTGTTATTCTTTATAATAAACTAAATTAACCATCACTCAAATTTTGGACTACTGCGCTGTGGGTAAAAACTTACTATTTTGGAAATATGATATATTTTCAAAATAATATAAAACAATATCCGAATAATTATAAAACCAGAAATATAACAGTTGGTTTTCAAATCTCAAACGATAGTTTTGAAGGAAAGCTGATCTATCGAAAATAAAAACCAAACTTTTTTTATTTCGACGGAAACAATGCACTCCCATTATAAATTGAAAGTAATACTACCTATGCATTAAAAAAAAAAATTGTTAGTCTTATATCCCCCTCTCGAAGAAATACTACTGTCCACTGGGACGACTAACAATTAACAAACCAGCATTAAAAAAAAATAATGTAGTTTTAGGTACGCCTATAACATATATTGTGTATACAATTTAAAAAAAATAAGAAATATAAAAGTATAAGTTGACCGACCGAACATTAATAATAAATAAACATTATTATCACACCTTCACTAGGAGAATTATCGGCATTTATTAACATTAACAAAGTAACAAATAAACAAAGTAACGAATAAGCATTAATCATGAACAATATTATTCTACCTTCATCAGTGAATTTGTCGGCGTAAAAGTTGGCGTAGTCGGCGTCGTCGCTGAATGAAACTCCATACCCGTACTTAGCACGCACAGTGCGCCTCCAGTCGAGTCCTGTCTCGAGTGACTCCAGGGCTCTGGACTCGGTGGTCACATGGTACAAAAGTCTCTTCTTGACATTTTTGCCCGCGACCAATTTCATTTCCTCATAGCGCAGCTTAAACATTCCATACATCTGGGGGGCACAGACTTGGAGTATCTCACTGATATTGCACTGAAATATTATACAACACAATAATTTAACGATAATGCACAACTGCACATATTCCACGTGGTCGAGTGGACATTTAGTTAATATTAATATTAATATTAATCAATCAAATTAATATTTAGACTCCAAGCGTAGCGAATGAATGCTTTGTATTTACAATGTGTGTTTTTTTTTTATCAACAACATATTTGGTATACTAGAAAAGTGGATAGTTTTTTTTTTTTGAAAAAATCGATTTTTTTTGTGGTGTAACTCAAAAACTAATAATGGTAGATCAAATTTTCAATTATATTATATTAAGATTTTCGAAATATGTTGGCTCATTTTAAGCTTTTATCGCCTGGAGAAATTTTTCTAATTTTGTAAATTATTTTAATGATGTATAATAGTTTTTTTTTCATAGCTAACATAAAAATTTTTACTAGAATATTTCTAACAAGTTTTTCTGCTTTTAACAACAAAAAGAAATTCATCGAAAAGTTAAGCCATGAGATATTTTCGATTCTTATTTTTTTAAATTTTTAAGCTTCAGCAACTGAGGCCATTAGCTGTATTAGTTGTGGCACTGTAGGGTTTTGGGACTGTAGGGTTATAGAACACGTGTGTGGATTTTTATTATTTTACTTTTAATTATTAAATTTGATTATTTATACAAGTACATGTCTATACTAGGATAACAAAACTTCTCCGCTCAGAATCGTTTTTCGTACGCAATGATGGATGAATCAAAATATAACACATTCATTACAATAACGTCATGTAATTAGGATTAGTTTACATTGATACTTAATCATAGTTCATACGCACAACCGGTGAGGGAAACGCGCCTAACAAGTTTTAGGTAGTCGACGACGCGATGCGACATCGATAACCGATTTAATGACAAATAACAAACATTGCTTAAAAATAAAACAAAACAAAAATATTATGAACGTCTATTTTTCCATTCCCCCTGCACACTACGCCAGGCAGAATGAGATATCATCTCATTTTTATTTTTATACCGTATTTATCGGCGAATACGACAGCATGTTTACTGGATTGGCCCTCTACTCCGCACATCACCATCTCATGTGCGCGGCTAGCAACTTGTCTATTCTATTTCAGTTGCCTTCTTTACGAATACGATAACAAAAAAAAAAAAAAACAAGATGTTGATAAATATTGAAATATTGAATAATATAATGATATAATCTTATTTACATTCAAATATTTTCTAAAATAATTGTTTATAAGAAAACTAAATTATTGGTCAGTGTTCGAAGTGAGTAGACGTTGTCTTAATATTTTCTATTATTTTTTGTAGGTATTGAGTTAAAGCTTCAAAATCTGAGGTTATTACTTATTAGCCCAAGTTATATTAGTAGGTTTATTACTGTGAGGGAGGATCCTGTTGGTTAGAACGCGTATATATGTGTTGATGATTTGTCATTAAAAACTCTGGTGGTCACCTATCCGGGTACTAGTGAAACCGGCTGATGTTTCATCTCAGAATACATTAGTGACGCGACCAAAAATCGCGCCACACTAGGCCACAATACGATGTTTAGTAAATTATACAACTATAATCAGTTCTCTAGATCCTGCCATGCGCAAGACCGTAGTTAGAAAAATATTTAGGGCGGGTTTTGTGTATAAATATGTTATACTATATAATAAAATATGAAAATCAAGGCCTTAGCCAGAAATTTTCTGGGGAAGGGTTCAACCCTGACCACCCCTGGCTACGGCCTTGCCCATGCGTATGACTATGCTTAGAGATGTTAAAATATTATATTACATATTTTTTTTACAATGCCTTATTATACCGTATGCATTGAAGTGGAGTCGTCAGTTGCAGTGTAAGCAATGGTAAAAAATTACTGTATTTTATCTACCGCTACTTGTACCTTAATTGTATTCTATCTCTCGAATAAACAGCTCTCACTTAATTTACCTAACAAAAATTAAATAACTGCATACTTCGGGATTTTACATTAGCACCCCTAAAAATGTGTCTCAACAATTGTTGATTATATTATAAATATTAACAATAATATTTATTAAATTAATAGTATATCCAATTATTTAAAAAATATTTAAATAATTTATTGTAATTAGTAATAACTAAATAGAGATAATCGCAGCTATCGATTAATAATAATATGTTCGAACATGGAAGGCGGTGGCCAATTACAGTCCTAGTGTCGTACCAATGGAATGAGTAAATAAATGAAGTATAAAATAGACAATGGCATATTAATACATTATACTATAATAATTATATTCCAACGAACAATGATGTTGATTAAAATGATGATGATTGGACGTGTATAGTGTGTACCCAGATTTTATACATCTGTTGTGCGATGTCCATATTCGTGTAACAAAAATACAAAATTGAAAATCGCTTATTGTCAGTATCAGTATGTACCCCCGTCAGCCATAATTTTCATATTATTCTAAATAGTGATTATTTTTATACCATAAACTATTGAACAGTAATTATACTAATTATAGTCACATAATATACAAAATAGGAAAGATAATTTTGTATTTTGAAACGCCAATAACCCCGGTAGTTGAGGCGTGTTTATAAAAAAAAAAAAAATAAAGATAATTGGAACAGCACACGTTATTATACGTTATTATTTTCATACTTGTGGATAATTCATTGTTGTTCTGAACGAGCGTGTATGGAGGTCCGGGTGACATTATTTTACCGAGGATCAGTATTCTGTTGACCGAAACGCCCGAATCAACGATGTTATTTTTAAACTACCAACTAACAGCAGTAAAATATAAAAATGAATATCATCAAAAAAATGTAATAAATAATAAAATATTAATATAATATATTCGATCAAAACTGAATTTTAATTTGGTCATTTGAAAATCTACACATTAAGTTATGCAATTAAAAGTGTAAACAATGCCCTACACTGGCCATATGCAAGCCACGCCTTTGCTATTCGTATAGAACCTTGCAGTACCTAGTTTATACTTCTTTTATCGATGTTCTGCCCCGACCAGTATCTAAGTTATCGGGAATTGATCACAGGTTATATAACCATGGTAGGTATGTTATGAGTACCGACTTTTAAATGGGTTGATAATTTCATAAAACATTTTTAAAACCACAACAATACGCAGCAATTATTTTAGAGTAAATATTTTTAGTAATACCTGTAATGACTAGGAATAATTTTAAGTAAAAATAATGTAGTTACAATTCATGGTGAATTATTCTTAAATATCAAATTAATTTTCCTATAAAATGAAATAATATATATTTTTTTTGTAATAGGTACCTCGTCAAGTATAATTTTAAACTACTGCATTATGGTCAATCGATTCATTACTCACATTTTCAAACGTCTTATGGATACTTTTCGAAAGTCGTTCATAGCTTGTGTTGCTCACTTCGACAAGACGTGGACCGTCATTGACGTCATACTTTCTGAGCCGTGAGTTAGGGTAGTCATGTTTCAATTGAGCTACAGCGTGTCTTGTAAACTCATTCGACGCGGAGACTTTCTTTCTGATGGTTTTCTTCTTTCCCGAGTTCATAGTCGTCACTCGTGCGTGGATGAACAGATAATATTGAAATGTAAGCGGTTCTAGCCGTGAAATTACTAAAAAAAAAAAACCACAAACTAATGATAGGCACCGTCGCTATGTCAGCCAATATTAAGAGTACCTATGCATTTGGAAGATTCGACAATAACTCTACAACTCTATTATATTTATAAATATTAAATATGTTTGTCATAACAATCGCTTGGATTGTTAAACCTATCGTGCCTAAATTATTTATAATTGTTTGCTCACCAGATATGAGATTTTACAGAGAGATGACCTGAGTGCTTCTCTAGTCACATAATACATACACGCAGAAAAGTAGATTGCTGGCCGGATAATGGACGTCTGGTTAGGTCTGGTGGTATACTTTAAAAATATTTTTTTTATCGTCTGGTCATCACTCGTCGTCGGTGTACACTGACACACCAGGATGGCAGGATGGTAAAACACACAACGCTTTGTACGTTATTATTTTCGTCGTTATCTGCTATAAAATACTTACGATGTGTGTGTGTTTCATAGGCGTACAACGGACACTTAATACATGCGACGTGATTTGCAGACTGCGGCAAGTGGCAACTGACAACACTGAATTTGTGATTTAGTCGAAAAATAACAATAGCGATCTATTTCTTAATCTCGACACAGACAACATCGGTAAATAATTTCTGCGCTGTTTATTGCTACAGCCAATTATTTTAAAAACTCAATCAGATATCAGAATAAAAATAAAACGAACGGCAACGCGTAATGCGATGGGTATATGACCACATTAAAGCCTTTAAACGCTTAAACATCGACTAGACATTATATAATATTATGTGCTTAGTAAAATCATAATAAACCATATTATTATTTAAAAAATAGAAAAAGTCACACACAATTGTGTAGATCACGGCTGCCTATATGGCTGTACGATAAAAGGCTTAGATAGTATACCTACGATTTTAGAAATATATCAATGACTGCGCTCTAATTAAGGAATAATATATTTTATAGTTTGATAGTTTGACACATTAATCCCAGATAGTAAATAATAATAAGTCAATATATTTGTATTTTATACATTGTGCCCTCACAAATTATTTACCTAATTATTTTCAACGATTAACGTAGGTACTATAGACCGTATCTCATGAATTTTTTTCATATTTCTAATAAATGTATCTATGTATATAAATAAATATATGAACTGCTGTTGGTTTAGCCGAGTTACATCAGTTACTATTGAACGATACTACCAACCAAGTCTCAACCCACCCGGTAATTAAGCTACTGATTAGTGCCCCCCCCCCAAATATCAGGTACTTTCAGGCCTCCGGTAAGTCAAATTAACATTTTCAAGCCCATTTATTTGCAGATAAGTATATATAAAATAACAAAAAAATAAATACAATTTTCATTTTACATAATATTGTTTAATTGTACGGACAACACTTCTTGTTTACTTACCTACCATATACAGATATTACAGAGATATGACCTGACCGAATACTCTTCTACAGTCGCTCTAGAGTCTAGAGTACTTATAGCGATTCCTAGTCAGATGATGGATATCTGGATAGGTAATAGGTCTGGTAACATAATACGCGATTTTATTATCGTCTGGTCGTCATCAGTGCATACTGGCAGACCTGTGGCAGATTAATACAATCGACGGTCGCTTTGTACTTAATATAATATTTTTATCGTTTCTATTTAAAATAATAATTATGATGTATGTATTCAACTCTCATATTTCTTCTAAGATATAATTTCTTTATTTGAGTCCATAAACACAACGATTTGAAGCATGCTTTTACTCGCCTACTTATTCGTATTATAATTTTTATCATGATATTTAAAAACATTATTTTATTAACATTATTATTGGATGAATTAAATTAATATTAATTAATATTAAATTACAACACAATTGTATTATTTGACTTATTATTACTACTTGTATTGAAAATTATGACATTTTACATAATTTAAATATAGATAATGGATATATAATTTTAGTATGCCTATTATTATTTGTATTATATTATTATAATTGTACTATGATGGTCTATGATATTTAAAAATAATATTATATACTTAATACTTATGTGATATGTGGTTATATAATGATTATTTTATTATTTTAGACTTTAGAGTATAGTCTACAGTTTCTACTTTGTACAGCTAACAATGTTTAGCGGAGACGTGCGAGGCATGTCTGGTCTTGTGTGTATGTGTGTGTGTTGTTATCAATTATCACATTTTGGAGAAGTTAAGTTTAGTTTTAAAAGTCTTATCGAAATATATCAATATTAAATTTGTGGGGCCCACAGCCTACAGGCTATAGTACTTTTTCCTAAGAAATAATTGAACATTGAGTTCAAATTTAACACTTCCATTAGTCATTACTCATTAGTCATTACAGCTAGTGACCTATACTGGCTATACTCAATGACGAGGTACACACGACGACTACACACCCCCACTATTGACTAGGGTGCAGCAGAATGGTTACTTACTTGCTCGATTTTATTAAATGATTATTTCAGATTATGCATTCGGAAATAAGGAATGAATTTTACATACTAACCAAAAAAACAAAATTGTTATAAGTACTAATAACATTTTAAATATATTTTTTTACGTTTAAATCATAAAGAAATACTTTTTAATTGATTTCATTTGGCTATACACCACTATTTATTATCACATAAAAATAAATACTTCATAATATTATATAATAAACCAAAAATCAATACAATATTCCTATCAAATAATTTTAAAAAAATTTTTCTATAGGACTGATACTGTACAACTTCCTTAAAAACATTATAAGTAATCGATGAATAATTGCCTATTAATAGAAGAAACTTAAATATGGGTATTCGAAATTTAATTAAAATTTTTTTATTTTGGATGCTGTTTCATCAAAAATATTATTTTGGACTTTTTATTAATTATAAAAATATAATCTGTACGAAGATGTTAAACTAAAATGTTCTAATCCATTTACTCAGAATTAGTATATTATATAATTATATTCATAAGACAGGACAGACGTGATGATGAAAATAAAATAATTTGGAGGTGCAATGGAAACCAAAAGTGCCCAGGACGGGTACATGTATCAGAAAGTAAGTACACACCAGTTATTGCATTAAATAAGTGTTTAATCTAACCAGTCTTGCAATTCGACATGTATTGCGCGTAAATGTCATATACGCTGACTTGTATTACGCTGAAATGACTGCGCTATATTTTCATGGATATAAATAACAAAAAGATGATAGTTAATCATATATTAGTACAATAATAATTTAACACAGACAATGTGGCTTGTTCAGTTGAGTGAAAATAACAGCAATTATTTAGAATAACCAACCTCTGCAGGAGTCATTGTCGTCGTCGGTGTCGCAATCGTGGTTGAACCCTAGCCCGGTGGTTTTTTGGCACGGTAAAATTTGCTCTTCTTCGGGTGTTCAGGTCTCCGCTGGTAGTAGACAAAGTACATTGGATAAAATTCATTATCGTTGAACTTGACGTATAGGTGACCGTTTTTAACTTTAAAACCATGTTATGTTTAATTTAAGCGTTAATTATTAACCACCTATTACTAAATTTAGAAGTAAGAATATTGTCTCGTCGATACCTTTAAAATAGAAGTATAAAAAAAACATAATATGCCATCGACTGGATAATAATCTTACTCTTCTAAAGTAATAGGTCAATTCTCACTATGATTAAACAATAGGGTTAAATGAATTACTAAGAACGTACAGTTTGCAGTGCTATGCATTTGTAAAACGGAGATAACGCATGCGGATATAGCGTCCTTTTTAGAGGACGCAATCACACGTTTTTTGTCTCCGTCTTACCAATTTACGACATAGCAAATTTCAGTTCACTAGTTTGAATAGTATGTCGTTAGTTTTGATATAAGAGTGAATTTAAGTATTATCAAATTTTTAGATGAGAACATCGTCTATGCTTATAAGCTTTGGTGGATTTTCAATATTTTCATTTTCAAGCAAGATACGAGTATGTGAAATAACACAAATCAAAAATGCTCATATTTCAAAATATATATCAAAATTGAAGTATCCAAAAATCCGCCGATTCTTAAGCATAGATAATGTTCTAACCTAAAACTTTGATAACAGGCGAATTCACTCTAATATTGGAAATTCAAAACTAGCAGCACACTATTGAAACTAGTGAACGAAAATGTTCTATGTCGTACGTGAGTAAGACGGAGACAACAAATGCATGGGTAGCGTCCTCTTAATCATTTTGTATTTATATCTAATTCTGAAATACACAAGATTAATAGGATTCAAATGTAAAAATTCATTTTCTAGGATTGATAACTTATGTTACTCCCTTAAAAACGTAATAACTGATTTATTGTTTGTATTATTAGCTCACCGACTATCATAGACCATCGTTATTAAAATAGATAAAAATAAGGAATTAAAATAGAGAATCAAACTTTTTTCTTTGGTTACCTTTTGAATGAGATTGCTATCTTCAATGTTTCATTAATATTAAAAAAAATAAACAGTAATATGAAGTCAAATTGTCAAACAAAATATTTCTTGTCAATTTATTCACAAATAAGTGTATAAAAACATAAAAATATTGCATTTGAGTATGTAGGTACAATGCAATTTGGGTTCAATTAATTTTTGTTAAAATTATTAATCATGCTTAAAAAATATATCAATGTAGTTAATTCTTGTCCTGCAAATAGTATTATAATCAACCTATAACCTCAGGGTAGGACCAATAAGTTGAATTATTAATCTAAATTTTTGGTTCCACGACAAAATATCCCGGTCAAGATATCCCTGACAAAATAATATAATACTATAGTAATATATATATATATATATAACCTTTATTATAAAAGTCGTGATTAGAAGTAATAATCGCACTTTATCTAAATTTGGACGAGAGGTTAGTTGTTGTAAGAAACTAAGAACAATAAATATTTAAAATCAATAGCACATAAGTTAGTATTATTATAAGTACCTATAATAATTTTTGACGAAAAATATACCACTTGAATTTTTTTTTTTAAATGTCTTAATTAATTTTTTTGTGTTCTATAAATGTATTAATATCTCTATGTAACTTGTATATTATAATATACATAATAATTATTGTCGAAAAACAAAAAATTTCAATATTTTTTTTAAAAATGTCTTAATTAAATTTTTTGCATTCTATAAATGTATTAATATTTCTATGTAACTTGTACAAAAAGGTTTATAAGCTAATAGTTACGTGGGATATTTTGTTATTTAATATTTTAGCGGGGATATTTTATTTTATTTTACAATACGGGACGAACCCTTTAATACATGAATATAATAGTATAATAATAATAGTTTTAATAGTTTATGGAAACGTGGCTCAATATCAGAGAGAGAATGAAGGGTCAGTGTTAGCAATGCACATAAGACGGATGATAGGTGAGTTAAGATAGTAGTTTGAGGAAGAGAAAGGTATATGAAGTGGAACAGATGATCGTGTACAGCGAGAGGGGACCTTAAATTAGACACGGGATAGTAATTCAGGACTATCAATTTTAGATGAAAGAAAATTGGATAGAAATGTCAGGTTAGCTGAATGACGACGATCGGTGAGGCTTTCTAAGGAAAAGAGGCGTTGAATTGGCGTGTAATCGTGAGGTGGACAGACTATCTTTAGTTTGTAAGCAGCTTGACGGAGGAATTTTCTTTGAACCCTTTCTATCATGTTACGTGCGGAAGCGGTGGACGGGTCCCAG